CTGTTAAGACAGCAGGTAAAAGTTGGTCTGTGTTCTGTCGGAGCTGCCTGCGACGCGCTGATGAGATCCAAAAAGATCGAAATCGCGCTCCGCGTCTGGCAGTTTCGACAGAATACAGACCACTTCGAATTGTTTTATTGGAAAATATATTGTTTGAAGATTTGATATAGACCGTGGAATGTCAATAAAACGTCAATTTTAAAGGCTATTGTCTTCGGTTCTAGACGATCAAAAAGAATCTCCGTACACCGTTGTACGTAGAAATTTTCAAATTATAATTGTGTAAGTTTACAAGAAAATCCCTTATTCGAGACAACTACCTTAAGCTACAGCGATGTAATATTTATAGCTCTTACTGCACATACATAACGTATTCATGGTTCATGGTTCAATATCTCTTTTTCTTACTTCCCTAATGCGTCGAATTTAAAATACTTATCTTTCAGGCAAACGGATTGATCCATTGTTTTAATAAATTGTAAGCCTCGGAACGAATTCAGTTCTTCGTTGGCTGCCTCCATCTAGTTTATGAAACTTTTGTTACGTCCAACAATCTGTCGTAAAAATCCTCGCTCGGATTTGTGCACTTCGCTAGAGATCTTTAAACTAAAATTGCATTGAATGGAACAGACGGATGGTGGTCAGGGTTCTAATAGTACTCGAGCACGAGATCAATTTTTCAAACAGGTTATTTTGTCACAAAGACCATTTATTTTCGTAATCACGAAGTCGTACGTTTACGCCCGCATTGTAACAAAAAAGTGAAAGAAGCGACACCCACCCGAAATGAAAAATTTGCTTCGGCAACCGAATGTCGCTTAGCATAGTGGTTGACAGTTAATGCATGTATAATTTGTTTGAGGAAACATTTCCAAGCGATTTCCATGAAGTACAATTGCCTACGGTACACCTAATTAATGAGGAATCTCAATAAATATAATCTCATTTAAAATTCCACGTCTCCTGAAAATCATGGAGTAAAAGCTAGATTAAATTTGTTTAATTATTTTGACATGAATCCGATTCAAATGTTCTCACATTCTCATTAGTTTATTTGAATTTTGAATAATACTGGACCAATTAACTAACAAATAAATAAACGTTTTTGATTATTTGATAGTATTTAATTTAAATTTAACAATGAGCAAATGATTTCCAGTTACACGGCCCAACGCGGCTGCTAAAACAGTAGCAAATATTATCTAAAATAAGTGTTTGTTGAAGTGGTTTTGCAAATGATTAGGACAAGGGTCCTTCAGCATGCAGTACAATATATGTATATAAAATAGACACTAAATAAGTGCACAATAATTGTCACAAACTTTAATAGCCATTACGTTTACAATTACTTCAATCAAGAAATATCTTTACAAATTATAATTGCATTAGAGGTTTACTTAGATAACAATGCAAATGGCTGAAAATAACAAGATGCCATAGGTGTACTCCCATTAATTAAATTATGATATCATTAATTTTCTTCGAATTAACATTTTCGCCCAGTATCTAAATCATTTTTTTTAAGAAGACAAATTGACGCACAATTGCGGCACATATCTAGAACGCGGTAACAACGTGCAATGGTAAAAGATGTTGCGTCTTATTAAAACGCCGTATTGAAGTTCAGATTGATTATATTCTAATTTTAATTACTGAATGTGAAAAGTGCAAATCTTGAATTAATATATTTTCAGTAAAGTACAAAATTTTTGTTTTTGAATATAAGGTTAACCTTCTTTTGTGACGTTCAGTCTTAGTCTTTTTTTAGAAACTTAAAGTTAAATTGTGTCTCCTCACACTCAGTTCTTTTTAGTCAAGGTCATCTCGTGAAGGTAAGGTGTCGATTCGTAAAACTACATACGATTTATGGCAAGATCAACCATTCTCAGCATACTGTGAAGAATATTTTTATATTTTTAAGTTGATCTTGTACTTTCTAATTTTAAGATTTATTTCAAGTTCTTTACAATTCCCGACATTTCTCCTTCCAATAAAAGGCCGTAACAAAAGAAGCAAGTTATTTATAATTATAATAATATGTTTACTATTCGCGGTCCTATTCTTGTTTTAATGTACAACTACATAATTTTGGATCATTGACCGAATCGAAATTTGTCGCTATAGGCGCATGCAGATGCATACAGATCACACATCACGCTATGACGTTGTCCTGGATCGTTGGATTACAGGATACTGTTAAAGTGGCAAGTATCGTTGTATCGATTAAGTGATTGCAACACGTGTTGCTAAGAGAAAGGTTTCAACATAATTTTTCCATTAACCATCTCTATCAATAAGTATAAGTTAATGTGCAAGATGTATGAAATGAATGAAAAGTGATCGTAAGAATGTTTAAGAAAGATTTAAATACTGAATAAAAATTTTGAACTGAAAGTTAGTCTTACTTACGTATATGCTCCGTTTGTGGTTTCGTAGTTCTTCATGAAGTTACAATAATTTTCAAAACATTTAACTCTAATGAAAGATAATGCCTTAGTATTTAAATTATTTATCCAAACCTTATTATATACTTTTATTAACTACACGTGCTTTAATTTTCCGTAGATAGGAGAATACCGAATATTGTTTGATTATTTCGATTTACTTGTCTATTGTTTCAATACTTATGTACTTAATGATCTTTCTTACAGAAACCTCAATAATTATGATATTTAGGTAAATTGCTATTTGGTATACGTATCTAAGTGTTTTCGGTTTTGGGCAATGAAATTTAATATTCACCTCTACCCCAATTTTTAATACGTTCAGTAAATTGATTTAGTTGATTTAGCTATCGAGCAAATTGAATCTAGCTCCCGTCTTTTGTTTCAGATATCCAATTCAAATTAGACCATCCAAAGCCACCTGAGTCAGTATGCAGTCTCCCTTGCGGATTAGGGCAAGCGAAAAAGTATGTGGAGGGTGAAAGCTGCTGCTGGCACTGTTTTAATTGCACACAATATCAGGTCTGTAATAATGCTTTAGTACCACGACATAGTTTTATATTTAAATTAAGAAAATATCGTCATAGTCATAGAAGTGAGGGAATTCTATGTGTAATGACATTTAAAGATTAAAAAAACCACAAGTAATTCCTTGTGTGCAAATCTCGTTAAAATAGTGACACAATTCGACAACTAGATCAGAGATATTTACATACAAAGGTGAATTCTGCTGTACTGACTTTTACCATAAAAACAGTTGTAAATATTTGTACTATAAATAACGTGCACTTAGTCATTTATGTAAAGCAGCCTTTCGCGAACGCTCACTTATTGCCAGGTACTGTAGCAAGTATCTGGTTCAGTCTCTGATATTGTAGCAAGTATCGAGTTCATTGTCAGATGCTGAAGAAAGTTCCATAGATATTTTTCCATTCTCCTGCACGCAATCGGTTCTTGTCAAAACCACTTATACGTTAATTGTCATGTTAACACGCCTGCAGACAACTACATTTCTCTAAAACTTATATTAATAAAGTAACGCGTGTATATTTACGTTGTGCTTACAACTTATCACGATCAAATCGTTTTACATGAGCTTTTACGTTTCTTGGTTCTGAAGCATCATTCGCATTCGCCATTAATGTCTTTCGGGGTTTTAAACGTTTGCACGCATGTACAAATCAAATGTGTGGTACAAAGCACAATAAATTTGAAAATTGTCTTGAATATTTACTCCATCTGATTATTGCAGGTTATGTATATTTTGTGTCATAATTACACTTCTATTGCCGCAATACGGATAACAGGCATGCGCAAGTGCTCGTCACTGTATTCGCCAGTAATTCGCACTGTTTATTTATACTACAATCGGATGTCCAACACTAACTAACACAGCTGTTGTCCAGAGGTCTATTTGTACCACTATCGAATTCTCTGGAACAGTCTTCATTCTTTTGGAGAATTCGGAAACATTTATTGTTCCGCAGTGTCACAGATATTATTTCTTACCTTTCTCATTCGTAGAAGAAGGATTGCCGACCTTGCCTGTGGGCATCTCTCAAATCAATCTACTGATTTCCTCATACATGGTTGTATGTAACATTAGCCCATCCTGAAGTACGATCCGTCCCGGATAATTTTCTGTCCTTTCTTCATAGGTCATGTCGATATCTGCAACTCTGACCCATTTGGCATCCGACTTGTTAGTAATTCACGGTTTTCTAGTTCTCGGATACTCGTCGTGAATTGCCGCTATATACCAAAATTTTTACCTCATTCCATTACCGGAAAAGAATTTCCAACATGCTTCGTACCACTCTCCATTTCAGCCCATCTAAACCATCCGGTCCCTTGATTCTAGCATAATGAGCGGTAAGTTCCCCCGACGATTTTTCTTTAGTGACAAGGCGGTTGATTCTCATCCTGTAAATGTAGCATTTTTTTTTCCATGTTGGTCTTTCAGCTCCGGTATCCGATCAAACTTCTTGAAGTCTGGACTATGGACGATAGAGTATTTCTTTGGAAAGAAATTCGGTCTAGGGACCTTTCAGTGTATCATCATGGGTCGTTAGTCCTTAGACTGGTTCGACACGTGCCTCCACGCTTTCCTATTCTGAGCTAATCGTCACATTTCCCTTTCATATGTAACTTCAAATTTGGCTTTGGAATACAAGCTCGGTGTAGTCATGAATTCTTTATACTATGGATCCAGAGATTGAGCTTGCATAATTCTAAGTCGAAAATTTTCGTGGTTGTTGTCAGCGTATAGGGCTAATCGTTGAAATGGACAACCTTTGGTTTCTCGTTTGGGACACCCCTAATCCTGTAGATGACTTCATTTATTCGCTTGACAATTTTACATGAATCTTCCCAATACATTTGCAACTTTAGTGATAGACTCTTCTGGTACCGTGGATTATATAGCCACAACAGGTCTCCTTCTTAGAACAACAACAGTGGCCCTCATGTATATCATAGGTGTCCTTAATACCATCGTCAGTTATTTGTATTCGGGAACGTAATTGTTCGTGGATGTCATGAAATTTCTTTCGGAGTTCACTGACTTAGTTTTCTCCGGCATCATCCTCGCTAGTTTTACAGCCAAGATAGCATGATAGTCGCAGCTTTCCGTCAAACCGCATTTTTGCTGGTGTCTGTCTAGTAATTTCATGGACCGCTGATCGATAAACCACAAGAAACAATGGTAGACAACGATCCCAATATTTTCGATGTTTGGAAGCCATCCTGGACAAATACTTGTTAATGGTCCTAATCATTCGCTCTGTTTGATTGTGGATGTAGAGGTGTAGTCCGGGTTACAAATGCCATGCAAATGGTGGATTCGCAGTTTCGGTCCTGGTCAGAATTGAGCTCCATAGGTACGAATCGGTTGTTTAGGTGTTCGACGAGCTCTAACTTTACGGTGATGACTGCCTAGTTGGGAAGGGCGTACGCTTCAACCCCTTTTCGTGTAATTCGTTGCCACCACAATGCACTTATTTTCATCATGGATGTCTGTTCTAACTACCATTCTGGTTTTCCACGACCCGCTTTAGGATACCATCTTCTTTAACAATGAAATTCCATTGGGCCTATAACAATTTCACTTCTAGCTACTACTTGTCAGGCCGGTCGTCTTGTTTCAGTTTTCTATTCGTGGAGCAATCTCAAGACCACGTCAAAATCTTGATCAACTTTGATATTGTCAGGCTATTATTACTGATCTATCCTTCTAATTTCCTCGTGTTACTCGAAGCGCCTACAGTACTTTATTTGCTTTACAGCAATTAACGGGGCATGAGCTTCAGGATAAAGCGTTGACATTCTTATGGCTATTTCTAGCTCGGTGTTCTACATCAAAATGTTGTTATTCTTGAAGATCCTTGAAATTAACAACCATTCGGCATGAACAATCTAGAGCAAAAGCGTCCTTCCACATAGGTATTTGTACGGCTAACAATTCCATTCAGGCTCATATAATCCTATTTGTCGATCTTTCCTGGTATATTTCTCTTCAGGAACTTTTTTTCTATGTTTTTCATTCATATCTTTCATTTGGCATTCATTTGTTTTTCGTTTCAGTCAATTTTCCGTCGGGAGGCTTCAATTTCTAGTCAAAGATCCGTAATTTTTGCCGTAAAAATCTTTCTTTAATTTTTCATTAAATTTTTCAAATTCTCCTTCTAAACCTAAATTTTCAGTTAATTTTATTTCAAAATTTTCTTTCAATTTTGCTTCCAATTCCTGTGAATTTTCTGTCAACTCTTCCTGAAGTACCTTTTATTATTTAATTTTCTTTCTAGAAGCCAGTTTTATCGAGTCGTTTTTGTAGTGTAGACTTATTATGATTCTTATCTTCGTTTCGCTCTTTAGCTAATTTTTTAAATCTGCCACCTTTAAATCGGTTATTTTTCTGGCTATTCTTACTAAAAGATTCTGTTCCTGTTAATTATCTTCAACCCCACACTTAACCAACTGTAACGAATTTTTTGGTATTTATTTCTTTTACGGCTATTTAGAGTTTTTATTTACAAAGTACCACTAATAAAAGAGTTAAATACTTGTTGATTATATTACACGGTATTTATAGTGCTTTTGCACTCGTAACTATATTTATATCATTCGGTATTCGCCAGTAATTGCAGCTATCGAATTCTCTGAAACAGTCAAGAGGCAATTCGTAAGACTAGTTGAAACCGTAGTTAGCTGAGACTTGACGTAGTAGTTGAATTTTAACTTTATAATACTACTGTCTTGTATTTTTCTTTTTAAAGCTTTTTATAAAATAAGCTAACATCTGCGATTACTACAAAATTACGTTTAAAATACATACCTCTCCTTATACCTACGTATTTCTGTTTATGTATTTGTGAAATGAAACGTACAGAGCATTTTAACTCTATTTTCGGCATTATAATTTACATAATTTTGTTTGGTTATATCCCTATAGTATACATTAGTTTTTTACAGACAAAATAAATTCTGTCAATGTTCATAAAAAAAGAGTATTTATTTGAAATTATCGAAAGGCAAACCTATTAAACATTGGAAGGTGTTGAGCGAATATTTTTCTTTTAGTTGACTTATTAACATTCTGCTTCACCTTCTTAAATTAAGCTGACTTGAGTATTAAATAGTTATATGTTCGGTACGTAACAAACACAAATAATATATAATAATAATAATAATATATTTAACCAGATAGATACATGTTATTACATAGTAAATCCTGCAGAAGTAATCGATTCATCATTTTTAACATTTTTTCGGTATTTGTTATTTACCTATGACGCATAAATTACACGTTGAGTAGTCATTTAAAGTACAACTGGAACAAAATTCGTTCAAGGTAGTCAATTTTTATGGTATCAATGTATGACGAACGTGCGTGCAATTAAAATTTTTAATTTCTTTTCATTTTCCAAAGCCATGCCCGCACACGTTCAGAATTTCAAGTGGTTACCTTTTACATTACTGAGATCGATTTACTAGGATGGAACTCTAATAAAAAATTTAAGCGTAACTTTTACAGTCTGCAAACATAATAAACAATGCAATGTCTCATAAAATCTACTTAATATCAGTGGCCAGACAACTGTTTGAAACATATACCATCATTTTCATTCAGACGACCCATTTGAAAGCACTGCTAATTTTAAACTACGATATGTAGTAACCACGAAAATGTTCCGAAAGAATTAATTCGTAAAACTGTCAAAGGATTTAACATTAAAATATTTTTGATTCCTTCTCCAAAATAAAACCAGGAATGGAGGAAATTTTGTAGTTCAAATCAAATAAATTTTAAACTTAATGCCTTTTCTACAATTTAATTTTTCTGTTTTCTGAAAAGATTTACTTTTCATTCATAATTCCAACTCACTTATTTTCTTACTACAAGGGCAATTTATTCTTTCGGCTTTAGTAATTGTGTAGTAATAGTCTATTAAAAATCACCATTAGTAAATTTACTACGGAGACAATCTCTTCTTTACTTTGCTGCGCATTGCGTCTCTAAGGAATATCCTTATTACCACAACATCTCGTTTTATTTACCAACAGCTACTACAAACCAGCTCTAGCAAATTGTGATTCAGCCAGTCTGCAGTTTCGCGTAACACTCCAAAAGTAAAGATGCATTTTAACCCAATGGTACTGAAAATCGTTGCAAATAAACTAAGAAAACAACAGGAAATGAAAATTGAAGGAAGACCCTGTAAATATCTGATTTAATGATTTTCGTTTACTGGAGCACAGCAATCATCGAGTCCGTCTGCTGTTCATGTTAAAAGCATTTACTTTATCCAAACTATTAATTTGTGGTGTATAAAGTTTATTGTCCAAAATTACATAACAATTACATATCAAAGATTTGCCATTCGTTAGCTAAATAATTTCATACTCAAAGATAAAAATTAACTAAAAAGCAAGAGTTTAAAGAAGAAGCAGGGCTTCAAATCTGTTTATCTAATTAAAGGATGCCCATTAAAAACGAACATATTAGGTAAAGCCTTAAATTTGGAATTAATTTATAAATGTCAGGTAGAACTGCTTTGGAAAAATTTCAGGCCGCCTTAACAAAAATATTACGGGTTTAATATCATGAGAAATAAAGGGTGTTTTACGGTACATTTTGATAGCACAATAATTGGAATACTTGCAATGTACATTTTCTGTTGAATAAATAAAACGAATTTTTACATCAGTTTCAAACAATACTGCAGGAGTAAGCATTCATACGATTTTAATTTTTATTGGAAAATAAATAAATTATATCGACCATTGAGGTGCGAAAAAACTGTCATGATCATTAGTACTTTCTGTCTGTACCATTTAGAAATTTTAAAATAGCAGACATGCGACGATGAAATTGCTAGTGTAATTCGGACACTGTGACACGTTTGTGACTAATATCATACAATATCAAAGGAGCAAAGATTGAATTGATAATGCCTTCGCGTTGTGAAGTAGACAAGTTATTGTTTAGCTTTTTGTTAAATTCTTTCTTAAAATTTGGGTTTGTTGAAAAGAAAAAAGTGTCATGCTCTTGTAATATTTTAGAAGTGAAGACCAAGTCAGACTCCTAACAATGAAATAAACGATATTCCTAGATGAGGACTGTTTTTAACAAGAAAGATGATTTTCTTCTTGCTTAAAAATCAATTACAAGTGCTATTAATAGTGAGACTGAATTTTTTTTATGTTCGTTTCCACCCTCTGCGGCTCCATTTCTACCCCTCCGCGTTAACAGTGAGCTAATCCCGACGAGGATGCACTAGTAATCCTTCTTTAGATAAATCAAAATAAAAGATATTTTTTATACCTTTATTAAAAATTAAAGATACGTAAATTAAGAATAAACAATTAACCTTTATTCAAGAATTATAAAAGAATATTATTATTAAGCAGTTAAAGATACAGTTTTAGGAAAATAAAATTATTTAAAAATTTAGGTACTTCATATATGTAGGCACTGCACTTATTTTATCAAACAGTTTTACCACTGAGCACAGTTGTGTAATACATCGCTAGCGGGTACTAATTGAGCTTTTTAATTCAACCATTTAGATTCGCCATGAAACCGATCCAACACAGTGCATCAATTGTCCCCTGGGAACGTTACCTCATCATCTCCACATCCGTTGTGTTGAAATACCGGAAGAGTACTTGCGACCGGAAAGTGGATGGGCCATTGGAGCTATGGCATTAAGCTCCACTGGAATCCTTATTACGATGTTTGTTATATGTGTATTCATTCGGTACAACGACACTCCTGTCGTAAGAGCATCTGGGAGAGAACTAAGCTACGTACTTCTTGCGGGAATACTCATGTGCTATTGTATTACCTTTGCACTAGTCATTCGTCCAACGGATATTGTTTGTAGCATTCAAAGGTAAGGATCGTTGCTCTCAGGGGATGTAATAAATGTTAACTAATTTCAGAGTAACACTATCAACCAGAACATCAGCATTTAAGTGTATTAAACCACCCCTGCATCTTATTATCTTTTCCAAATTAATCAAAATTACACATAAAACGTTTAGAAATACAATACGCATTTCGACACATAAGCTGTTATTCTGAGTTGTAAACTAAACCTATAATTGAGGACATCAACTTGGTTGGTTGTCAAAACTAGTATTAGAATTGTAAAGATTTTGTTTAGTTCAGTTCCACAGAATTCCCTTCGATTTTCTTCACCACTTTGAATTAAAAAGTATATAGAATACTTAAGCAAAAATAAGCATATGTACGAAATGAATATAATAAGCAAAAAACGGTTAATATCGACTGTTACAATAAAAAATTTCGCAATATAGATATACCGATCTTAATTCTTTAGAATATTTGTCAAGTTTCCAGTGGACAGAATTTTTGAGGTTTTTCCAAAAGTAGATAAATGCCTCTCATCCTTTCTTGGCTGAACAGTTATTAAACGAGGTTTCATCTGTAATTTGCAACGTTTGGTTGGAAAAAATGTTCGGCGATTTTAACGTTAATATTTCAATAATCTAAAATATTCAACTTGCAATTATCACCAAGCCTTTTTCTACCTTGCAGGTAAAGGAATCTAAACGTAGTTCAACAAAATTGTATCGTTAGTACTATTAGGTCTGCATACAAGTGTATATATGCTTTTGATCTTTCTTAGATTAGGTAGCTTTTGTATTTGTCTAAAACTCCTCAGCATCTTCTTCGCCAAGCTTTTATGTTAAATTAACTGCAACTGCAACTCTAGAGTTCATAATGCTGCCTGCGACTACAATTTATTTTGCAACTAAAAATTCCAGTAAACTGATTGTGGCGAAGTATAGCAACAAAAATATGTGCTCCAAAACCTTTTTGAATTTTACGTATCGCAAACGACGACTCTTACATAAAGGTAAAACAAACGTTTCTGTTTTTCAACGACTACTTTTTTAAATTTTGATTTTACTTAATGGAATGTCAAATTCGGAATCAAAATCCTCGGTCTTTACTAATATCGGATAACGCATGGCCTTTATCGAGATCCATTAATGATCCATCCACATTTTCAGGATCATCTTCATCAACCGATAGCCCCTTTATTTATTTCATAGAAATCACCTAGTAATTTTAAGATTCTATCATCCTCTTTTCAAGGGTATTTATATATATAACTAAAAAGACATATTTCATTGTAATTAAGGGTTATGTATCAAAAGCCCTGATGTCCATTTAAATGGAGAGATCATTTTTATTTGACGCTTAAAAATCAGGTAGAGGATGAGAATGTGCGCGAATAATTCAACGATTTTTTCAACACCGTCGATAAAGTCAGAGATATGGAGATAATGATCCACTCTGATCAACTGGCGATCATGTTATTATGCAGTCTATCGAACTCTTTTGATAAATTTCACGATTGTTTGCCAACTCCAGAATTTCTACGTTGAAAGAATATATAGAGGAAAGTAAGTCAAGAAGAAAATACTATATCGGATGAGAAATCTGATGCTATGTCCGCTGGAAAACAGCGACTGTCATTTCCACTGAAATATAAACACCCGACGAAGGATAAGGTCCAAAACAATACGGAAACAAAACAAAGTGCACGATCTGCAAGAAAATTTGCCCTAATCCGTTTAACTGCTTGCATAACAAAAAAGGGTAAAAGACAGTACGAAGAAAGTCGACCGAGTCCAGCAACGTTTGTTTCCAAATTTGTAAAGCTGTAATGTCTAATGCAAAATCACAAGTGGTGTTTTGATTATCGTACCACGTAATGTAACGATAGTTTTCATCAACTTAACAACAGCCCGTGTAGTAAACCGAGTTTCGCGAACGAGTCTTCAGCTTGAATCACCGGAAAAATGGAAAAAAGGACAGTCTCGTTTAGCACAAAAAGATCACGGTTTCGATGTCGCGTTTAAAAAAACATGGCTCTATAGTCATCAGCGCGACTGGTAAAGTCGAGTTGAGAGAGGAATGAGTCGGAGATTTGTATTACGTTTGAAAAATTAACGGAAAAGCCCGCGACGTGTCGCTATATGCAACAAACAAATGATGAGCATATAACTAGATGACAGGACGAGGCACTTGAAGTGTGAGATTTGCATAAAGAGGAAGCCCGGTTTTCATAAGAATCGGAGAGAATAACAGAATTGCTAGACATCATCCAGGCAAATGATTCGAGTCCGAACCCGATTACATGCTCGAATGGTTTTAAATATTTCGTCATGCTCATTAACCATGTCTTCTTAGATGCAATATACGATTTCTAAAATCCGTAGCTGGCCAATTTGATGCAACGATATATTATATCGTACTATATACCTCCAATCGGTTAACGGTCGTAACACTTTACTGAACAATTTCACAGGTTTCTGAAAAGTAAAGGAAACACACGTCGACTCACGATAGGTACCTTACAATTGACAGGGGAAACACGAAACCGCTATTGGGACATTGGGACATTACCAGATATCTAATGTTGGAAGACGATCTGCCACATTCACTTTGTACAGAACTGATCAATACATCAAATTATCTGCGAAACCAGCTACCTTTCGACGAGCTAGGATGGGAAGACTCCGTTCCTCATAAAATGGGCCGGTAGACGTGACATTTCACAACAAACATTATCGGTAATCCCGTAATCTATCTTGACAGAAAAGCAAGTAGAAACAAAATCGAACAACGTGGTCGAAATGGCATCCTACTAAGATGCTTGACGGAATCCAAAGGTTATCAAATCTGGGTAACTGAGAAACCGATGGTAACTGGTACCATCAATTGCATCATACTCTCCGAACTCTGGGAGTAACTCTGACTTACTCAGATCCACGTATATTCACCATCGGTTCAAGGGAAAATGCAGTAGTAACTGAGATATACGTGGACGACGTCCATCTGAAATTAAACGTCCAGAAACCACTTACATTCCATTTCAAGTTTGCAAAGAAGACCAACTCTTCAGACGATAAATATAGAGAGCTGAATAGTGCACTTATCAGTGCGTCTTCAACAGGTCCGTGGTAGCTTGGACAATATTACAATTCTTACGAGATATCGGTATTTCCTGTGAGCAGGATAATCGACGGGACAGTCAGATTTCTTAGGACTCCAGAAAACAACGTATTGTCGTATTATCCATGGCAGAAGCGAAATGTATTGTTTCGTGCTACTGTGCAAAAGAAATCATCTACTTGCTACGGTTTTTACGAGAACTTGACCACGAAAAATAATCCAGATTCATCGTACACTGTGACAACTACAGGCCTCCCAAACTAGCCGAGAAATCCATGTTCCACGCTAAAACAAAACTCAAAGATATACGTCACCATTTTTTTTGAGATGCCAATGAAGACAAATAATATATTTGGAAACAATGGAGCATCAGAAATCAAATGGGACAGACGGGACGTAGTCTACATAAACATGTAAATGAATACAAAAAAAATCTAAACCAATAAATATGTCACCGGCTTTTCTACACATTACTTAGATTCCAACCACCAAATGGATCCAAATTATGCTAAACTCTTATATTTCGAACCAAGTTGTAATTTTGCTTAAACTACCTAGAAATTCAGAAACTCAGTTCCCAAGGTAAATACGTCACAAATGAATAAATAGACTACAAAGAATGCCCACTTATTAAATCGGTTATGAACTAACTTGCTGGATTACAATAAATACGTTTAACACCTTTAAGCAGTCATAGTCTTGATGATTGACTATTAAATAAAATTTGCGAAACTTTACCAAGTGATTTTTATGTATTTTAAAATAACTGTATTACATGTACTTATAGCTGGCTTAGTTGAAGAATACATAATATCGCAAATCAACTAATCATAAAGAAGTTCTTTTGCATATGACGGAAATGACATTGCAAAAGGCTACAGCCTGTCATATTGTTATATTGTTATTCTAAAGTAAATTAGAAGTATTACCTATTATTGTATATTAATTGCTATGTAAAGCGATATTGAACGGGTTAAATTAGGTACATTGTAGTACTTTTTGTCAGAAAATCGATTCTAGGTTATTGTTCTAATATAATGTTCGAAAAGTAGTAACTAATACAAATTCAATAACTTCATTATTATTATTAAGTACTTTCTTTAATGTAGTTTATATCAAAAATCGGATTCTGATGAAAATCACAACCGGCAGAAGCATCTAAATTGCCCATAAATATCAAATAGATATTAATTACGAAAATATAAATCAACTGTACAACCATTTTGACACTTGAATACGGTATTAAATTGAACAGTTAATACGTCATGTAAATTGGCAATGTTGTGTAATATACGCAACAATTACGTCGAATACTTTATTAAATTATTCCTAGAACACCCTGATGGTTATTGCTTGGTTTATAAACGATTTTGACGTGTAATTAATTCCTGTAAATGAATTATTACACCATATGCTCACACATTTACATCCCGTATACAGAAGCACTGATTAAATTGGTTTCAACTATTTGACTTGTAATCATTATCATAGGGTCGTCAGTCCTATGCTGGTTGGACACGTACCTCCACTCTTTCCTATCCTGAGCTAAACTTCGCATTTCCCTAAAACTAGAACAGCCCACATCCTTAACTATTTGCGAACAGTAATCTAATCTAGGTCTACCTCTACCCCTCCT